AGGAGAGCAGCGAAACCAGAGGAGATGGGCAGAAGGAGGTGATGGTTGAAGTTAAGCATTATGAGAAGGCATTCAGGGCAGTGGCAGAGCAATGAGAGGAGATATCCGAGCCAGGTGGCTTGCGAGGACGGATTTTGAAGAAGAGGAAAGAGGGACAGGACAGGGTGAGGTGTTCAAAGGAGGGGGAGGAACCAGGGGAATAAGAAGATAAACCAAGAGAGGTTTGGGAGATAAGGGCCATCCCACCACCACATCGGTCGGGGCAGAGGGTGTGGTGAAAAGTGTAACCAGGCGAGGAGGCTTCGATGAGGGGGATGGGGTCAGCACGGGAACAGGTTTCTGTGGGCCCAAAGACATCAATGGACACACCCAGGATGAAATTGTGGATAGTGAGAGCAAACCATTCACTGCATGGTCGTTTATAATAACAACAATCCTTGCATTCGATACGGCGCCTTATCACGTCTTCGAGACGTCTCAAAACGCTTCACAGAATATACGGTAAAGTAAATTGACTGTAGTACTTTGTGGGCGAAACGCACAGCAGCGTCCCCACAAGCAGTTGTGGATTGAGTGACCAATTTTTTTTTTTTTAAGGAACTATTACCCCCGGAAAAGCGATCCCCCGATCCACTAACAACTGCTAAGTAAACAAAAGCGTGTGGAGAAAGGAAACTTGCCCAAAGTTTCGCCCTATGAAAGTGTTTATTATTATTATTTATGAAATGGCTGCCTCGTTTTCCTACAAAAACAGTCACTACGCTTGACAATAATTACACGTAAAGAGACGGTTGGAGGTGTCTGATGCATAACCAGCTCAAACCGCACAGGTTGCCCTTGATGTCACCGCCTGGAAGCTCTCCCCGCTACTTAATTAGCAAGAACAACCCAGCTGTTAAGGCTTCGGCTTGCAGGGTTAACAGGAGCTGAGCGGGAAGAATCTCTACCCGCAATCTGCGCCTCGAAGCCCTAGAGATGATCCAAGGTCACCAGCGGTGTCCTGGAGCACCGCAGACGCCGCCCGGCTCAGGAACCAGATGACCGAGACTGCCACATTCTGTTGCCAAAGCAAGTCACCTTGGAGGCCGTTCAACCCCAAAGGAGATCCCACTAACCTTCTGCTCCCCCTCTCCCCATGGGAATAATTCTCCTGTTAAATGAACTAAGTTAATAAAAATCCTAGCGTTTGACCCAGTGCCTTTCATTTCGGGAGGAGGACACCTCAAAACCACTTTAAAGGATATATTGTTAAGTGTAGTGACTGTGTATTTTGTGGCGCGCTACCAAGATATTTGTCTTGGAACTGAACAGATTCGAGGTAAGTCTCTACTTTCGCTCAATGCAGTTATGATATTCCTTTATGTTTTGTTCTTTTCTTAGCCGAGTTTAGCCAATTCATTTGTTAAATAAATGTTGCGTGATGCGAGACATCAAATGAAATTAATATTGTGCAGTCTCTTTGAATCAGAGGTATCCTTTAATGTAAATTGAATTGTTTTAAAAGTTCAAACATTAAATAAACCATCTAAAAGGCATCAGCTTTCGCATCATTATGAAGGATAATGAAGCTCTATAGCTAAGCGACTCACAGCAGAGACTTATTTTAAAGAAAGAACTTTGCAGTAAATCCTGTGAAGCGCTTTGAGATGTCGTCCTGGCATGAAAGGGGCTATATCAGATGTGAGAATTATTATTATTCACTTGCATTTTTTTTAACGGCTTACCATTTGCCATTTTTAGAATGCCTTTTATAACGCCTTATCACTTCGAAACTTCTCACGGCACTTCACAGGCAAAGCACTTCAAGAATTTTTACAGCGTTGCCAAATTGTTTTAACACCTCAGACTACTCACCGCCACCTTCGCTCACCTGGCTCAGGTCTTCTGTACGTTCCTCGTGCCCTCCGCTCCACTATTGTCGGTCGTGCTTTCAGCCACGGTGCCCCAAATCCCTGGAACTCTGTGCTTCAATCCCTTCACCTTCCCCTCTCTTTGCCTGTCATCAAATCACACCTGAAGACTTTCCCCTTCGACTGTACCTCGTATCACCTCCCCTCTCTTTCCAGCTCGGCGTCAAACCAGACCACTGATCAGTGCTCTGTGACGCCATGCAAGTTGTTGCTGTTAAAGAGCTTCACAGCTCATCACTGCAAAGTGTAGTGACTGGTTTTGGAGCAGCCGTTTACACGGGGGAGATCCCACAGACAGCCACGGGGAGAAGAGCCTATTCATCTGGGGGACGGTTGGCCAGGACACTAAGGAGAAAACCTGTTTTTTTTTTTTGAACAGTGTTTTTAAAGCATTCATTTGAAAAGCAAGCAGGAAAAACTTGTCACGTAGGAACCACAATTTTTGCTTAAGATTAGGAGGTCTGTTCCGCACGGTGCTCTCTCGAAGCAGCAAAAATCTATTCTGTTGTGCTTCTAAGCGCGTGTGTCGCAATTTGATATGTACAATTTAATTTTACATTTCGAATGTAATGTTCCGATTTAAATTGCATTGCTCATTTATAATGGAGCTATGGAAAAGTATAACACAGCAAGAGGTCGTCAGCCCATTTTTTTTTCATGTCGGAGTTCGTTCCTCCAAGAAGCCGTCCATTTCATCCCAATTCCCAGCTCTTTCCCTGTACCCTCATAAAGTCGATACAACAATTGTTCCTCGTCTCCCCGTCGTCCTCGTGAACCTACATTGTCCCTTCTGAGCTGTCCCCCTCTCCGTAGCTCTCCGCGTCCTATCTGTAATTGTTAGTCGATCAGTGGATCGCTTTTTGGGGGATAATAATTCCTTCCAAAAATAAAAAAATAAATGAATAATAATAATAATTGGTCACTCAATCCGACGGCGTTTGTGGGACGCCGCTGTGCGCGATTGGCTGCCGCGTTTCGCCCACAAAATGCGCAGTCAATTCACTTTACGGTCTATTCTGTGAAGCGCTTTGAGACGTCTCAACAGCGTGATGAGGCGCTACATCGAATGCAAGGATTGTTATTATTATCTCAACCACACTTCACAGTTCTGGACCCGAGCTACGGGTGAGACGAAAACCCTTTCTTCTGCAATTGTTAGTTCAATTCTCCTATAAATGTCTCAATCCAGTCTGGTCTAACAACCGGCGCAAGCAAACCATTCGATAGTCCAACAACTCTTTGGGAGTTCTTCTGAACCTCTGCTTTTGCAATCTCTCCCAAGTTCCTCAGTCACAACCTTGACTTCACACCCTCTTGTCCCTTTAGTAGCAGAAAGAGCTCCTGATGATTAATTCTTTCAAACTCTTTCGTTAAGCTTAACAACAACGTGCATTTATACAGCGCCCCCTCATGTAGGGTAGCGGCCCAGGGCTTGAACACCTGCCTGTTCCAATGGGGACCTCAACCTTCTCTGCTCCAATGCAAAGAGTCCTATCTCCTGGTTCCTCGTCCCTGTCATCCTACATTGTCCTTTCTGAGCTGTCCCCCTCTCCGTAGCTCTCCGCTTCCTATCTGTAATGTGGCGCCCATAACTGCGCACAATATTCCAGGTGTAGCCCATAACGACGACAACAAGTTGCATTTATATCGCGCCCTTCACGCGGGTTAGGGTTTCGGAAACGTTTACCAACGTCTTTCATGGATTCATGTGACACGGCAGGAAATGCACTAAACTTACCGAACGTGGCAGATTAGAGCTTCCGCAACAATTAAACAAATCCGTTAGCGTTCTGTGCCACCGTTTTTGTCAGCGTTAGGTACAGGTGGGCGAGAGGCAAGGTTAAACTGGTTAAGTTGGTTAAACAACAACAACAACAACAACAACTTACATTTGTGACACGCTTCATGTCAGGAAGATGTCCCAAGGTATTGGACAGTCAGGGATCTGCACCCGAGCTGGTGGTTGGGATCAGGAGGGGTGGAGGGTGGGGCGGAGTAAGGGTAGGAGGGTGATCGAAGGCGCGGGCGAAGATGTCGGGTCGTGAAGGAGGCGAGGGAGGGGGTGAGGGCGGAGGGACTGTGGGATGGAGTTCCAGAGGGTGAGGGCAGAGAGGCTGAATGCCCGCCTACCAATGGGGACGTGAAGCAGGCCGGAGCTAGCTGAGCCGAGTGAGTGGACAGGTTGGTAAGGTGTTAGGAGGTCACAGAGGTAGGGAGAAGCAAGGCCGTGAAGGGCTTTGAGGGTGAGGACCAGGATCTTGAACTGTATCCTCTTGTGTGATGGGAAGCCAATGGAGTTGGGTGAGGATGAGGGTGATAGGGTTGCTGAGCCTGGTGTGGGAGAGGATTCGGGCTACTAATCTGCACCCTACGAAGGGAGGAGTTGCGGAGGTCAACAAGCAGGGAGTTTGCGTAGTCGAGCCTGAATGTGATGAATGAGTGTATGAGGGTCTCGGCGGCCTACAGTGTAAGACAGTGGTGGAACCAGACAATGTTGCAGAGGTGGGGAAAGGGGGAGCAGGACGTGGCACAGATGTGGTGGATGAAGGACAGTTGAGGGTCGAACAGGACGCCGAGGTTCCATATTGGCTCCGTGAGGTGTAGAGTGCAACCATGAAGGGTGATATTGTCAGCGCCCGAGGTGTGGAGGCGCTGATGGGAGCCGAGCAGGAGAGCCTCGGTCTTGTTGACGTTCAACTGGAGAAAGTTTGCTCTCATCCAGGACTTGATGTCCGACAGGCAGTCCGTGAGGACAGCAGTGGAGGGTGGAGTCGAGGGTGGAGGCGGAGAGATAGAGCTGTACATGTGGAAGTTGACCCCGTGCTTACGGACACTGTGACCAAGAGCGAGCATGTTAATGTTGAAAAGGAGGGGACCAAGAACAGAGCCCTGAGGGACGCCACGTGTGAGCAGGGAGGGGAAGCCGTAGGTGGAGACAAAGTGGAGATGGCAAGGCCAGGTTAGGGAAGGGTGAGCTGAGAGGACTCCAGCAAGTACCCGAACGACTGGAGGTCAGCAGGCAGGCGCCAGTGTGGATTAAGATAAGCCAAAAGCCATCGCATAACCATGAAATGTCACTGTGTCTTTCAGGAGTTTGCTGATGCAGTTTTCCGGCTGGTCACAGAGAAATTCAGAGATCTGACAGACAATTTCACCTCCTCACACGCGCGGCATAAAGTACTGGCAGGAATTGTAATGACCAGAGGTAAGACGGGTTCGAACCTTGAAAAGGGGGCTGTTATCTTCCTCGGTTACCAAGGTATTCACAGCCATTCAGGATGTGCATTTTCCTCCATTTGTCTTTTCACCTGCCCAATGGAACAAAAAAAAAAGCCCGACTGCACATTCACGGCCCTGGGTGTTCTGAGTGAGTATTCATACATGCTTCGGATGAGACGTTAAACCGAGGCTCCCGTCTGACTGTTCAGGTCGACGTTAATGATCCCGCGGCACTATTCGAAAAGAGAAAAGGGAGTTTCTCTCTCTTCCGCTGTCCCGGCCAACAATATCTCCGAATAAAATCGGTCACTTTACTCCATGGCTGTTTGTGAACAGGTGGACAGGGCCTCAGTTTCATGTCTCATCCAAAAGGATGGATTATACTTCCATAGATACACAGACATAGAAGCGGGAGTAGGATATTCAGGCCCTCGAACGTGTTTGGCCATTTTATAAGATCACGGCCGATCTACACCTCAAGTCCAATAACCCGGCCTTTTACCCCAAATCTCTTAATACCCTGACCCAGCAAATATTTTTACGGCTGGGGAGCAGAGGGCTTGGTTGGACTGACTGAAGGATCTTTTCTCTGTTCAGTGATTTCCCACAAAATCAATCAGTTGCTATGGGACGTGTGGTTCTTTTGCTCCATTCAGTAACTTCCACAAAATCTGTCTTGTGTGCTTTTAAATCACTGCCGTGCAATAGCAACGTAAATCAAATTACTTAGCAAATTATAAGTTTAAATCTTCATTACAGTCAATTTTCCCCGCTGACAGTGTCAGACCTGAAAAAATTGTACCGCTGCGAAACCAGAATAATGCACGCGCACAAAAAAAAGTTGAGTTTACACCTAAAGATAATCTCTCTCCCCTCCCCCTCCCCGGATCAGGCCTTTTCTCACTCTCTGGAACTCCAACCCGCAGTCCCTTCGACCCATCTCCTCCCTCATCTCATTCAAGTTCTGTCTCAAGACCTACCTCTTTGATCGTGTTTCGGTTACTTTTATCATAATAATAATAATCCTTGGTTTGATACAGCGCCTTATCACGTCTTCGAGGCGTCTCAATGCGCTTCACAGGGTACACCGCAGAGTGAATTTGACTGTATGTTTTGCGGGTGAAACGCGGCAGCCAATTGCGCACAGCAGCGTCCCGCACAAACAGCGGTGGATTGCAGTGAACAATTTATTATTATTAATTTTTTGAAGGAATTATTACCCCCGGAAAAGCGAGCCGCCAATAGACTAACAACCGGGTTCCTACTTATTACACAGAGGCGTGTGGAGTGAAGGAAACTTGCCCAACATTTCGCTCTGCCCGGGAATCGAACCCAGGTATCTCGCTTGCGAGGCGAGTGCTCTAATCTTCCGTCTGGAGTTGGCATTGGCGTGAACAGATATGGCACATTATTTATGTAATATTTAATTATTTAATTCCCTCCCTCCCTCCCTACCTCCTTATTGTTCTCGTTTGAGAAATCTTGACTGGTTTAATTCTATGCAATTATTTTTTTTTTAAAAAAAATCTCAGCAAGAGGAAATAAAATCTCTCTGCGAGTCCATCTTCATCTCGGGCCGTGGGTTTTGGCTTCCTTGTGAATCTGTCGCAGTCTGACTCCGTTTCCTCAGGTCCCTTTGTGAAAGTGACAATCACGTCCACTGTGAAAGCGGACGGACGGATCGATGCTACTATTCTGCAGCGCAGCAGGATAAAGGAGCTGTCCTTTGATTGTACCGCTCCGTACAAGCAATTTCATCACTTCCCTGCAAAAGGGGGTGAGATGAGAGACATCGCTTTGACAACGCGCAAACGGGTCATGAAAGACGTGCAAAAACCGGAGCTTGCACGCAGAACAGCGCCTGGGTTGTTTTTTATTCTTGGTCGGTCGAGCGAGTGTCGGCCGACGTGTGCGGAAGGAACCACCACCACCACAACAAAATGACATTTGTACAGCCCTTTCACGTCGGGGACTGTCCCAAGGCGCTGGTGTGTGCGATTGAGCTGCCGCGTTTCGCCCACAAGATATACAATCAATTCGCCTCGCAGTATATTCTGTCAGGCGCTTTGAGACGTCCCGAAGACGTGATCAGGCGCTGTGTCAAAATGCAAGGAGTATTACTATTTTGGTAGCTTATCAAACATTTTATAATTTGCAGTTGAACAAGACTGCACGTAGCCTCGGTGTTGACTGAGCCAAGAGAGTGGCCGGGTGGGTAGGATTGAAGTAGGTCGTGGAGGAAGTAAGGAAGGGTGAGACCACGGAACAAGGATCTTGAATTAAAAAAAATCTGCTGGGAGATGGGGAGCTAATGGAGCCAAGCGAGGATGGAGATGATAGACTTGCGGAGAGAGACTGGTGCGGGAGAGGACACAGGGAGTAGAGTTCTGGGTAGTATGGGTTAGGGAAGCGAGGCATTAGCATTGTCAAGCCTGGACAGAATGTGCGATGAAAGCGTGGATGAGGAAAAGGATAGTGGCGGGGGTAGGCAATGCGGGTGGGGCCAGAAGTTCTTCGAAACTCTTCATTTTAATCCTTTAAAGCCTTGCATTTGGGATAGCGCCCTAGCACGTTGTTGAGATAACAATAATAAACCCTTTGCATCTCGTATAGCGCCTTATCACGCCTTCGGGGTCGCCTCAAAGAGCTTCACAGGATATGCTCCAAAGTGGATTGACGATATTTCGGTGGCAAAATGCGGGAGTGAGCTGCGTACAGCAGCGTCCCACAAACAGTCGTGCAGTGAAGTGGCCGACATTTTTTAAATAACATTTTTGTGGCCACTGTAGACCGGGACACCATGAGGAAACTCCCTTCCCTTCCAAATGTGCCACGGCAAACTTTACTATCCACCCGAACAGGCAGGTGGGTCCTCAGGTTAATGTCTCATCCGAAGGACGGTGCCACAGATACAATGCAATACGCCCCCAGCACTGCGTTGGAAAGTCATCTTAGACGATGTCACTCTAAGTCCCGACGTGGGGCTTGAACCCGCAACCTTCTGACTCGGAGGTGAGAGCGCTAACCCACCGAGCCAGGCTGCTAGCGAACCTGGGCTCAAGCTTTCAGAGGGACCGAGTGCAGCCCTGTCGGCTCAATCGCGTGCGGTTAACGTGTCTGCTGAGGGCTGGGAGTGGTGGGGGAAGACTTGAGTCGGGTCAAATGCAGCGCGAGTTAACGGAACCAAATCCGTGACAACCCGTCACCTCGTTTAAGTGAGGTGTGCGTGACAGCGCTGGTAACCAACTGAAATCTCAATGAATTGCTCAGCAGCACTTAAAACTGCAGGGCTATGACTTCTAATGCAGTTGGGCTACAGAGGGCCTGATACAAACGATGCAATTTCACCCTCTGTGAACTCGAGGGGTACTGTCTCGTCTGAGATTATATAAAAAGAAACAACCGTGCGCAATTACGATGGATTTTTTTTCGGGTGGGGGGGGGGGGGGGGAATTCTCGTCACCCGGAAAGGTTCTGGCAAAAAAGGGAGCAAATTATTTTTAAAGAATTAATTTTTCCTGCCCAATCTTCTCTCTCTCTTTCTCTCTCTCTCTCTCTCTCTCTCTCGCTCTCTGTCTATCTCTGTGAACGTGTGACCTTCGTATAATTGAGTAGAAATTAGGGTGAAAGATGACTGAAAGGGCCGGCGGAGGGATAGGTTCTTGGGTCGACCTGCCTCGGTGGGTTCGCACTCTCACCTCTGAGTCAGGGGGACGTGAAACGACGAAATGAACAGAAATCGGGGGTGAATTTGGACTCGGTGGGGCTGTAAAGCACTCCCGTACTTATCCCACAAAATATGCGGTCAGTTCACTTTACAGTATATCCTGGGAAGCGCTTTGAGACGTCTCGAAGGCGTGATCAGGCGCTGTATCAAATGCGAGGATTATTATTATTATCTTCAAGACACTACCCCATTCTGAGTTACTGGGTTCTGAAGGACCTTGATGGAAGTTAAGGGTCTTTTGAAGCTCACCGTTTATGAGGAGTATTAAAAAAGGATAATTAAAAGAGGCAGAGAGCATAAAAGTAGGGAAGTCGTATTAAAATGATATGAAACCCTGGTTAGGCCACGTTTCGAGTGCTGCGTGCGGTTCTGGTGACCGTATTGTAAATGGGACATTGAAGCGTTGGAGGGAATAGATTTACAAGAATGATTGACGAGGATTTGAGTGGTCGCAGCTACCAAGGAAGATTGGACAAGTTGGAGCTTTTTCTCCGGAGAGCTGAGACAATTGAGAGGAGACCTGATAAGAGTGTTCGCAAAAGCCAGAGGACCCCGGTTCGGTTCTCGGGAGGGGCAAAGCCTTAGGCAAGTTTCCTTACTCCGCACTCCTCTGTTTACCAAGCAGTGAGTAGGAACCCGGTATCATTCACCTCGTAGTTGTTCGTGGGACACTGCTGTGCGTAGGGTGGATGTCGTGTTTGTCCACAAATACAGCAGCTTTGCTGTGAAACGCTTTTGAGGCACTGTTAGCCACTCGATCCACGACTGTTTGTGGGGACGCTGCTGTGCGCAATTGGCTGCCACGAAATACACAGTCAACCCACTTTACTATTTATTCCGTGAAGCGCTTTGAGACGTTTCAACGACGTGATAAAGCACGATATCAAATGCAAAGATTATTATTATTATTATTATTATTTTTATTATTTGTTGACGAATTTAAAACGAGGCGGGAGGGTGGGGGGTGGGGGGGCAGGAATATTAGTAAATGGGAGATCCGCTAATGTTTCTGAGGATAAGAGCGGTTTTAGGAGGTACATTATGCAGAGGGTGGTGAGAATGTGGAGCTCGCTGTGGGAAGCTGTGGTCGAAGCAAAACAAAAAGCATCAGAGTATTTAGGACGAAGCTTGACACAACAACAACAACTTGCCTTTATACAGCGCCTCTCACACAGGGTAGCGTCCCAGAGCGCTTCACACGACTCCAACCCGGGGGGAGGAAGAGGGGAAGGTGACCGTAGGCACGGTCAAATAGGAAGGTCTTCAAACGCGACCTGAAAATGGGGAAGGAAGGGGCGAGGCGGAGGGATCGAGGAAGAGCGTTCCAGAGTTTCGGGGCTTAGCGGCTGAAATGGCAGCCGCCTGTGGTGGAACAGAAGTCACGGGGGACACGCAGAAGGCCACAGCCAGGCGAGCGGAGGCAGTGGGTTGTGGGTTTGTGTGGGGGGTGGGGGGGGGGGGGGTAAGCAGGTGGGAGAGGGAAGGAGGTTCCAGGGCACAAACGGGTTTGAAAACGAGTGTGAGGCTCTTGAAATGGACCCGTTCGGTGATGGGGAGTCAGCAGGGCCTGGTTAGAACTGGCGTGATGGGGGTACGGAGTTTAGTACGGGTGAGTAGGGAGGGAGAAGGGAATAGAAGAGGTATAGGCTCCGGTGTTTCGAGGCACTACCCAAGGCGAAGGGCGCTGTATAAATGTGCGTCGTCGTTGTTGTATAGGAAAGGGCAATGGGAGGGGTGGAGAATTTGGTGTGGGGTATAAACACTTGCATGGACTTGTTGATTGAAATAAATGGCTTTTGCAAAAAAATATATAAAACCGTAAAAAAACCTGATGGCTCAAATACTCCGTGGAAAAACTCACTCACCCTTCGGGGAAGCGAGTTCGTCCTGTGTGGATGCTCTCACCGACTCACTCGGCTCAGATTAGAAACAGCGCTCTCTGATTACGATAAATGATGATATGATAGCTGTTATTATGCGGGCGGGAGAATAGTCCTGGAGGAGAAGGCAGAAGCTGGTATACAACAACAATAACTTGCATTACTTGTGGAGTCCTGTAGTGTTAGTGCGTTCACCTCGCAAGCGAGAGGACTCGGGTTCAGTGTCTCCACTTCCTTTTTAAATGTCATTTTGGAGTCCTGTAGCTCAGTGGTTAGAGCACTCGCTTTGCAAGTGAGAGACCTGAGTTCAATTCCAGGCAGAGGGCGAAACCTTGGGCAAGTTTCCTTACTCCACACGTCTAATAATAATCCCTCCCAAACCAAAACAATAATAAATTGGTCATTTTCAATCTACGACTGTTTGTGGGACATTGCTGTGCGCAATTGGCTGCCGCGTTCGCCCACTCACTTTACAGTGTGTTCTGTGAAGCGCTTTGGGACGTCCTCCCGACGTGAAAAGCGCTATATCAAATGCAAGGATTATTATTATTATTATTATTATTATTATTTCATAAAATGCAGCGGAGTCCTGTCGAGTATTGGTTCGGTGCACTCGCCTCGCAAGCGAGAGGACCCGGGTTCCATTCCCGGACCGGGCAGATCACGTTCTGGGGGTAATAATCCCTTAAAATAATAATAATAATAATAATAATAATTTGGTCACTCAATCCACGGCTGTTTGTTGGTCACTGCGGTGTGCAATCGGCTGCCGCGCTTCACCCACAATATACAGAGTCAATTCGCATCACAGAATGCGCTGCGAAGCCTTCTGAGACGTCGCGACGACTTGATAAGGCGCTAAATCAAATGCCAGGATCGTTTATTTGTTAACATTAAAATCTCTTTTCTCCCGTTTCTTCTCTCAGGTCCAAACGTAAAGGAAGCCCAGGTGGTGGCGCTATCGACGGGGACAAAGTGTTTGAGCGGAGAGCACATTAGTGACCAGGGGCTGACGCTCAACGATTGCCACGCGGAAGTGGTGACGCGGAGATCTTTCCTGCGGTTCCTCTACTCTCAGCTGGAGCTCCATCTAAGGTAAGCCGGGTACCCATAAGTCGTCCTCGCTCAGGAACGTTGTCTTGTCTCTGCCCGATAGCCTCATCAGGAGATCAGCCTGGCTCGTTCGCCTGCGAGTCGGAGGATGTGGTTTCCAAGCTCCAGTGCAGTGCTGGGGTTGTTCGTTGCCTTTGTGAAGGTCCTACCCTTCAGATGAGATGTTATAATAATAATAATAATCCTTGCATTTGATATAGAGCTTTTCACGTCTTCTCGACGTCTCAAAGCGCTTCACAGAATATACTGTAAAGTGAATTGACTGTATATTTGTGGGCGAACGCGGCAGCCAATTGCGCACAGCAGTGTCCCACAAACAGTCGTGGATTGAAAATGACCAATTTATTATTGTTTTTGGTTTTGGAGGGATTATTATTAGGCTCTGTGTGGAGTAAGGAAACTTGCCCAAGGTTTCGCCCTCTGCCGGGAATTGAACTCAGGTCTCTCACTTGCAAAGCGAGTGGTCTAACCACTGAGCTACAGGACTCCACCTGTAGCTCCAAGGTCTCGTCTGTCTGTTCAAGTAAAGGCTAAGGATTCCTTGGCACTGTTCAAAAAAAAGAGAAGCATGTTTCTCGCAGTATTCTGGCCAACGTTCCCCCCACCCACCACCTCTAAAATGACCTTTCACTTCATGGACATCGCTCTGCGCAGATTGGCTTTTGTGTTTGTCTACAAATACACAGAAGTACGCTGTAAATTGCTTTGAGACATCTCGAAGACATCATAAGGTCAAACGCAAGGATTATTATTTGTTTAACCTTAGGCAGCAGACCAAAAATGAGCAGATGTCTTCAAAGATCGTGGCTATAGAGCGTTCTTCATAGTATCCCTCCAAATGTCACTGATATTTTGGGGGGAGAAATTCCACCCGGCTCTAGATTTAATCCACGTATGTGGCGTTTTGGAGAGTCGAGAATTTGGGCAAATTTTTGAATGCATCCTTAATATTGAAGCCAAATTTTGATGTGATCAATCTAGTCTACCTCAGATAAACTTGGTCATTCACTTCATGGATGTTTCTGTGACACTGATACGCACAATTTGGCTACCACATTCACCTACGAAATACACTGTCGGTACCCTTTACAATACATCCAGTGAAACTTGTTGAGACATCCTTCTGATGTGAATGGCGCTGCATCAAATGCAAGGATTATCATTATTATTGCCCATCCAATTTAAAAGATTTCCTCAAAACAGCCATACTATCATCTAAGAACTCTGAATCCTTTTGACTTCCAAAAACACGTTATCTGGTTCCTTCCTTGAAACGGTTTAGACTATTTCCACAGATCAGCACAGAGTTGGCAGTGAGAGGGCATAAATTAAAGATAATCACAATTATAACAAGGACCACTTCTGTTTATACAATAATAATCCTTGCATTTGATATAGCGCCTCATCGCATCATCGAGACGCCTCAAAGCGCTTCACGGAATATACTGTAACGTGAATTGACTGTATATTTTGTGGGCGAAACGCGGCAGACGATTGCGCACAGCAGCGTCCCCACAAACAGCGGTGGATTGATTGACCAAATTATTATTTTTTGAAGGGATTATTACCCCCGGAAAAGCGATCCCGCCAATTGACTAACAACCGGGTTCCTACTTACTGCTCGGGAAACAGGCGTGTGGAGTAAGGAAACTTGCCCTAACGTTTCACCCTCCCCAGGAATCTAACTCAGGTCATTTCACTTGCGAGGCGGGTGCTCTAACCACTGAGCTGCAGGACTCCATAAATATAGCGCCCTACGTGGGGGGACGGGTAGATAAAAGGGAGGGTTAGAGAAGAATTCTTTGCACAGAGGGTGGTTGGAATGTGGGATTACCTACTGCACCTTGGGTCTCGATCCCTTACGTGGTGAGCTCCCGATCTTAAGTCAAGCCCCTCGCACAGAGGCACTGAACGAAGGCCAGCTCTGTAGCATTGGTACAGGTCACCTCGAGCGATCTCCAGGGCCGAATGAATGTTGCGTTAGGTTAGTGGATGTTACGGTGGTGGGGGTGGGAGGTGGGGCGGGGGCGGGATTTGAGCTTACGCTGTGGGTGGTTAACATCTCGGACGGGCTCCCGGAAAGATTGCTAAAGCCTGAAAAAGCAAGAGTGGTCACTCTACCCACGACTGTTTGCGGGGACGCTGCTGTGCGCAATTGGCTGCCGCGTTTCGCCCACAAAACACACAAGTCGATCCACTTTACAGTATATTCTGATACGTTCTCAACGACGTGATAAGGCGCCATATCAAATGCAAGGATTAGTATTCATTTTGTTATGACTCAATGATGGCCCAAAAATCGAAGCATCTATATTGTTACCCACACGTCATGAATTTTTATGGGTTAATTATTATTATTATTATTATTATTATTATTTATGCTGATGTTGGACTCATTAGGGAGGGAGGGAGGGGTTTATTGTACTGAGTGAAGTTTAATGTGCACCAAGACCAGTTGCCGAGGCAACCTTTCCAGCTGCGTTGTCCGAGGGCAGAGATAACCCTCCATATTATTTCACCGTCAGGATCAAAGGCATCTTTTGGGTAAACAATTGCCGTTGAATAAAACCGGCGTTGAATCCCCAAAACTCCCGAAACTCACCACCTCCGACCGCTCGCCGCTGAGAACAGAGAAAAACGTTAACCCAGACAGATGCACTGGCGTGCGGTAAAGTGAGATTAATGTACAAAATCATCGTATCGAACAGCCTGTAAACACCACATTCCGTCCTTAACTGCTTTGTCAATAGCGAGTGCACTTTCCAAACGGATTGCTGCTTAATCCAATGATCCATAACAGAAGGAGAGAGACAAGAAAAAGTTGTTTGTCGCCGCAAACAAATATTGGACAGAGAAATAATTTACAAACCGTGTTACTGTTTCCCGGGCGTGACAAACGAAAGCGTCGCGCAGTCTGGATAAAGGCATCCGAACGCTGTCGGTAATTGTTAAGTGCTTTGAGAAGCCGGGAAGGTAACGGTGATTGAAGCAACGTATTCAAGAGGAACTTGACACTTTATTTGAGAGAGAAGGGAATAGTGGGGTCCATGGGAAAGGGAGAACAAGGGGGCAGTGGGTGGGGTAAAGCTTGTGCAGAATATAAACGCCGGCGCAGACTAGTTGGGCCGAATGGCCTGTTTCCCTGCTGTGCGCACCATTTGAAATGGAGTTGATCAAGTAATCAGGACAGTGGGACAAGAGCACGTAGGTATAGAGTTGTAAAGGGCAATTTCAGGACAGATAACCGGGAAGTTTTCGTCTTTTATCAGAGGGTAATCAAAGACTGGAACGGGTTGCTAACCCCCAGCTCCGGTGCAGACCCTTACCTTCCGACATGAAAGGTGCTATTTAAATGTAAGGATTGTGAGGGCGCATATTGTATGTGGGGGTGTGGAGGGTTGTTGTGTGTGTGTGTGTGTGAGGGTGCGTATTGTGAGTGTTGGGTGGGGGTGGAGGGGTAGTCTGTGTGTGTGTGTGTGTGTGTGTGTGTGGGGTGGGGGGCGATTGTGTGTGTGTGTGTGAGGGCGCGTATTGTGAGTGTGGTGTGCGGAGGGGTATTGTGTGTGTGCGTGTGTGTGTGTCCGTGTCACAGGTCAGTGTGCAGGATCCAAGGAACAAGCGCCCTGTGGTGAATCGGAAGCTTTTGTCTAAACACGCCGCAACTCGCAGCAGATGGATTCAATTTACCTCGGCAGGTTTTGAATTGGCTCCACGCTGGCCCTGCAAATGGCCCAATGGGTACGTGTCCTGGGCAGAGGCTGGAAGCTCACATCTGATAAGCGTGCACGTGTGCGCAGGCGTGTGTCTGACAGACCTTATTAGTTCTCAGCGTGAACACGAGCGTGCCCATCAAAGTCAAACGGCAAAGCGTGTTCCGCTGAATTTCCCAGCGTGCTGTGGCGCAGTTCCGTGCTTGCGCTCAGCAGACGCACGGGGGCGTCCGACGCGACATAACAAGACGCTGCGTCTGTTCAGCTCGCCTCTGAGCGGGATAGCCATAGAAGATTTGAGGTCCCTGATCCTAAGGGCACTAATCCTTACAATATGGAATAGCGCCTTTCGCAACAGAAGGTCCCCCTTCGAAGCACTTCACTCCGAAACCCTGTCCGTCCAGCGCCTTGGGACGTCCTCCCGAACGTGCAAAGCGCTGCACACACACACGCGTCATTCGTAGTGTGTTGTGTTGTCTTGTGTTTGGTCAAGTCTTTCTGAGATGTGACGTGCTGGTGAGAGTTTTGAGGTGCCCGGGACGGGATATAATGCTTTTGCCCCGCGCTTTCCCACTCAGGGCGAGGGCTACCCCTGCTGGTTATTTCGAGTGGCGCAGGTTTATACGCAATGTTACCTTGAGAAACAACCTGAAGACATTTCGCACCGCAGTCACTGCCGGTCGCCCTACGCCTTCTTCGCCCGTTTGACGTAGCAGCTGTCCGGGCCAGCTTTCCCGCTGCTTGTCCAGCTAGGACCGCCTGCCCCCGCGGGGCTTTGGCTTGCGGGGTTAGCGGGAGCTGAGTGGGAGGAATTCCCTGCCCCCCCCTCCCCCCCCACCCCACCCACCACCACCACCGGTGACTGGTCTGTCCTTCCAGGTCCTGCCGATGAGCCAGACCGAGCTGTGCTGTCATCAGCAATGGACTAGAGATGGACTAGAGACCGTCACAGAGGGCTGACGCGATTCCGACATTCCATTGCCAGGCACGTCAACCCGGAGCCAGTTCAGCTGCAAGGAGACCTCCGCTTACCTCCTCCCACCCACCCAAGGAAGATAATCTCCTTCCCCTTAAGGAGTGACTTTGTGTATTTGTGGGAAAAACCTGGCAGCCAATTCCCCCCCCCCCTCCCCGCCCCCCCCCCCCCAGCAAAAGCCCTACGCACAGCCAAGAAGCGAACGGTTCATTATTCTGGAGGATTGTTGGTCGGGAAACCAGGAGAAACTCGTTTCACTTTCCAAATAGTGGTGATCAGGATCTTTAACATTCACT